CGGCGTCGGCGTCGGCGTCGGCGTAACCGCGCGGTGCATCATGGGAAATGTCCCATAATGCACCGCGCGAGCCCCCCACCGGGGTCACGTGACCTCGTGGGGGGGCACGTGACCCCCCCGAGGTCACGTGACCCCGGTGCATCATGGGAAATGTCCCATAATGCACCGCGCGAGCCCCCCCCCCCGAGGTCACGTGACCCCCCGAAGTCACGTGACTCCCCTGAGGTCACGTGACCCCCGCCGATGTTGCGTGACCCCCCAATGACGTCATCGTCACTGATGACGTCACCGGCATCCACATCGTCATCGTCATCATCACTGATGACGTCATCATCACTGATGACGTCATCATCACTGATGACGTCACCGGCATCCACATCGTCATCATCACTGATGACGTCACCGGCATCCACATCGTCATCGTCATCATCACTGATGACGTCACCGGCATCCGCATCGTCATCGTCATCACCACTGATGACGTTACCGACATCCGCATCGTCATCATCACTGATGACGTCATTAGTGACGTCACTGATGTCGTCACCGGCATCCACATCGTCATCGTCATCGTCACTGATGACGTCACCGGCATCCGCATCGTCATCGTCATCATCACTGATGACGTCACCGGCATCCGCATTGTCATCATCACTGATGACGTTACCGACATCCGCATCGTCATCGTCACTAATGACGTCATCAGTGACGTCACTGATGACGTCACCGACATTCGCATCGTCATCGTCATCATCACTGGTGAAGTCAGCAGTGACGTCACTAATGACGTCATCGGTACCCGCATCGTCATCGTCACTGATGACGTCATCAGTGACGTCAGTGATGACATCATCGGCATTGGGGGTCACGTGACCCCCCTGGTTAGTTTAACCCCCCCCCCACCCCCCAGTGCCCTTCCCTCCTCCTCCTCAAGAGCTGCGCTCTAATTCGGCGTTACAGGGAGTTGTAAGCAGCTTTCATTTTTTGACACCAAAATCTCCATGCACCGAAAGGTCCGTGCACCAAAAGATCCGTACACCGAAAGGTCCGCAGACCGAACAGTCCGTTCACCGAATGGTCCGTGCACCGAAGCGTCCTTCCACGGAAACGTCCACACCAGGGGTTTCCCCAGGAATTGTAATTAGGGTGGAGGGGGGGAAGGGGGGGTTTAGATGTTAGGGGGGGGGGGGGCGGGGTAGGCCGGTGGGCGGGCATTGAGAATAGAGGAGTCGTTGCGATTTTAGGGGGTGCATTCAGAAAAGCAAGGGGGGGAGGGTGTACACACACATGCCTACACCCCTAGGGGGTGTGGTGTAGGGAGATCACTGGTCCAAACCCTGAAACGTCCGCGTACACCGAAAGATATGTGCAACGAAAAGTCGTGCACCCAAGTCGTGTTCGTGACAGATCGGTGCGATTACAGATATCGCTGTACTTTAATAATGCTGGGAGCAAAGCACGCGGACTGAGCATCGCCAAACCAAGCCGTGATAAACACTGGCGACATGAACGGCACGTACCTGTGGCAGAATCATGTGACTGCTTGACTGCTTGTTCTGATCAGGAGTTGAAGTTAACGCTGATCGATTGTAGCCGAGGTTTTCTGCAGTCTAACCAATAATCAGCGACAGCGAACAAATCGCCTAGTGATCTGTTTGATACGAATGTGTCGCCCGATCGATATCATTATGAGGTTTTGTAGGCGTGCCGACGCACTGGCTCGTAGGCATAAATCGATTTTTAAACGAGATAAAAAAAAAAGTTAATTCACGACAGAGTTGTAGGTTTCCTTTAATAATTATAATCTGATTAGTTTTTTTAAGACTAGCTGTTTCGCTCTGAGCAATTCTGTATCCACTTTTATATTTTTGAACTTTACCACTTACATGTCAAAAAAGTGAAGTATTTTGAGGAAAAAGAAATTTGTTAATCAGTTTATAGTTGAAAGAGGAGACTGGTGTTGTATTTACATGTTATTTAATGTTCTTTTTGGAAGCATGCCGCGACATGTGCATGAAAGCTATGAAATATCGATAGAGCGAAAGACTGGCCGCAATTTTCGATATAGTTTTCAGGTTCAACATGGCCCCCGTGGGACCGCAGCAGACGCGTAATTGAAGGATGTCACGAACCACTACGCTTCCTGGCAAACGTGATCGAAACGTCGTTATCTTGCAAGGTCCTCCTGACCTGTATTACTTTTCCGTATTTGGTTACGTATTGATTCGGCTGATATCTCTACTCGGCTGAATCACCCGACTTCAGACCTCCAGTCACATTGAAAATTAAGGTGTATCCAGCCTGTCAGCCTAACTAGAAATTCCTCCGAACTGAAAATTAAGCCGAACTTAAACGTCCAGCTGAATAAAAACTTCTATTCATATTGAGGCTTCAGCCGAATCTCGAGGACACCAGTGTGGTTATGGAGACCATTTATTTAGGTCTGTCCGTCTATTAAAATTTAACCCAATTAATTCTTACCCTTTAATCGACCAATTCATCAGTTAATCGGTTTCGCTCATTCTCACACCTAATCATTTAAGAAATTTCCATTTTTTTCATTTGCCGTTGCTGAATATGTGATAAACGGGGCAATGTAGACTTTCGTATTTTTAATCAATGCGTTGTTGAGAAGAGGCGAAAGACACCTCGACTCACATATTTTTATTTCAACCGCAGAGGCCAAGAGGTTCTTTGATATTTTCCGGCAATAGCGAACTTTTTTTTATTGTTACAATGGTTTCTGTTGAGCTAACGCACATTCGCATGGCGTTGAAGTGGCTGGGACACGGAACCTTAGCCAATTGTTTGGAGTAGCAAATTTGCACCCCTGCAGTTTACTTTAGGTCAAAAGTTCACGTAAACTTTGCGTTCATACAGGTATACTCGTCCCCATCTGCGTGGTGAAAACGTAAAGTTTTACTTGTTTTTAGCTGTCAAAATTGTACCGATTAACAAATAATAAAAACTCGCACTTGAATAATTAATCGTTTAATTGATACAATAATCGATGAAGTTTACCTACCCATTCTGTCCGTTCGACAATGCAGGGCAACTGAACGAGCTTGACAGTAGTTGGCTAGGCGCCGCAGACCTCGGCCTCGGTTGCTCTGGCTGGTCGTGCTCCTGGCGCCATCTATGAACGATTGCTTCAACGATTTTTCACCTTTCTTGTCTTGAAACTGATTTTGCGAGGCAGCACAGACGCTTATTAGCGCAACCTTAGTTTCTAATCATCGAAAATATCCCTTCATATGTTGCAAAAGAAATAGAAAGGAAGCGATCATTCTTGACTTGCTGTATGAACTCTGTGTCCTCTGAGAGGTCTATATCACATGAGCGAATTACGTTTTAGCGAAGAGAGGTCATTTGAGCGAATCGTCGTTTTAGCGAATTACCGGGGCGCGTGTTAACCCTTACAAAAAATTTATATCTGGCCAGATCTGAAGATTTCAGAGATGGCACATATTAAAATGGGCCACATATATCCTGATATGGCACATCTGCCAGATATAGCCTCATCCCTGACCAAGTATGGAAATCCCATATTTGGCCAAGTATGAAATTCCAGATCTGACCAGGCATAGCAAAAGAAGCACACAAGCCTGAAATCAGCATTTTATGCATATCAGACCATTTTCTAAATCCCCCAAGTGCCCCGGCCCGCACTCGAGGAATCATGGGAACGGTGTTCCTTCAGCTCCCTAGTGATCGGCAATTTCGACCAATCCCATGGTTACACAGATTTAAGTGTGATTCGGAGTCACCCTGAACAAGCGTCCTATATACCCCAAGGACCTGTCATATCACTTTTAATATTTCTCGTCAAGGCCAGCGTTTATGATACTGTGCATGCAATCCACCTTTCAACCTGGCTGAGCCGCAGAAATTTCTTACAATATTATCATTGTCGTGATTTTTGTTTTAGCAGGAATTGCTTAAAAAGCCGAGAAATCATACAACAGCCAAAACCATGATTTAGCTCGGAGTCAGCGGGGTTCTTTATAGCATTTTTAGCGTTTCTAACTTAATATCAGCGTCTTTAACACAGAACGAGAATGATAATAATGTAAGGGATGTCTGAAGGGTGGACAGTATGCACAGTATCGAAAACACTGACATTGACGAGGAATTTTAAAAGTGATATGACAGGTCCTTGGGTTCTCTACGACGCTTGTTCAGGGTGACTCCGAATTACACTCAAAACTGTGTAACCACAGAATTCGTGGAAATTGCCGATCACTAGGGAGCTGAAAGAACACCGTTCCCATAATTCCTCGAGTACAGGCCGGGGCGCTTGGGGGGGATTTCGCAAATGGTCTCTTGTTAACACTTCGAAATACTTAAGCTACATTGAAATCCTCGTGAAAATGAGCACGAGTAATCCCAAACTTAAGTTTGCCAAAGCTGAAGTCTGGGGTTATTTGTGCTAATATTTAGCTCGCGAACAATGAGTCATTTATAGTTTGCTAACAATGTACTTTCTTTATTTTTGGTCTTTTAAATTTTCTATATAATTAAAACCGGCCACCGTATAAGGCTGCACATACTCCAGATAACGAAGTATATACCTCATTTAAGGCTGTATATATGCCAGATAAGCCTGCATACATTCCAGATAAGACTTTATATTCACCAGATAAGGTTGTATGTACGCCAGATAAGGCTGTATACACGCCGTATATAATCATATAATGTTTGATATGGGATGATATGGCCCAGATATAAGATTTCCACATGGGAGCCTCCCCCTCAACCCCCCCCCCCCCCCCTCTCCTGCGTTCACGCCGCTTCGCGACGACAGTCTGCAGCGGCTCATAACAAAAAGGTTAACCCAGCGGGCCCTCCCGTAAACGCCGCTTGGTGGTGACCGACCATTCGCTAAAGTGTCTTTCGATGAAAAGTCGGCGATCGCTAAAACGTCGCTCGACTAGCTGAGGGTCACCCAAAGACAGCTACTGGTCTTTCCAATGCTCAAGATATTGACAACTATGAAGAGCGGCCGACAAGAAACAATTTATTTACAATTTCTACACAAACAAACGCGCGAGACTTTAAATAAATTAATTGAAACACACATAACTTGCGTAAAAAAGAAAAGAGAGAGGAGCGACAGAAAGAAATAACAGTAAGAAACAGTTCACAGTTCAGCCGAAAACAGCTCAAGTTAAAACGCTTCGACAACAACATAGAGAACAGTCGAGACGTCGAGACACTTTACGACTCGTACGCTCGTTCTGAAGTCTATACTTGAAAACGGCACGTGATGCTACTTCAACTGCCAGTAGAACTCTACGGTTCCTAGCTCCGGGACAATGCACTTGAGTTTCGGCGATCGCTTGCGGTACTTCGGGACCTGTGAAACCCCCCAAAACGCCGAGGGCACTCTGCAGATCTAACTCAGTGGCCGACACGCGCGCCTCTAGCGGCGGCGTCGCGCGTACTCATCGCGAAGTGACCTCGGCAGTCGCAGCTTGACTGCAGGTGTTGCAAGGTCGACATGCCTGCTCGGGCTACCACCTTGACGGAAGCGCGGGAGCAGCGGGAGCGGTGGCGGAGCTCTACCGCTATCCCTACGCTGACACAAAAGTGGCCGCGCGCGGCGCTGTTTGCTGGGCGATCGGTAGCGGCTCGTGGCGGACGCAGGGTGCCCATACGGCATGCCGCATCGATCGATTCCAGGCCGGACAAACGCAACCCGTTCTTTTAAGGCATAAAATATTGCTTTGAGCGGGGGTACGATTCGCGGACAGACTGACGACTGTCACGATAGTTCGTCTATACGACGCAAAAAAAAAAAAAATCGTTCAAATTCAAAATGGCGCAGTTTTAGCTTCCGAAGGAAGAGACGCAGCAGGCAGACCGACGCAAAACGACGTTTTTCTGCAGCGGTGCGACATCGAACCGTGCTCCGTTTCCCACCAAGTCCGAGCGTAGCCGACGCTACACTCCAATGGTGTCAATCAAGCGGCTTTGTAGCCGCTTGATTTGCACCATTGGAGCAACGTCATGGCACTCGTGCGCTTGTCGTCGTCTTTGTGCGCTTGCTAACAGCGGCTGAACCAATCAGGCACAGTGCGCCGTGATCCTGCTTAGGTGGTGATAGCACAAAGACGACGAAAGATCGCCGTGACGATGCACTTTTTGCCCCTGCCTCAGCGATAGCTTTGCTCGAACTTGGTGCGAAACGGAGTATAGTTTGTTCGCTTTCCTTGCGTAGACTTTTTTTCTTCTTCTTGTTGCTTGAATCCCGGCTTGAGTTATCCCAAAGCTGTGTTCTGTTTGCAGGCGTGACACGACAATTGAGTGCCCGGCAAAGTGCGCGTTCCCGGCAAGAGTTAGGTGTCGGCATTTGTACGTTGCGGGTGTTCACATCGATAGAACGAATGCCGTTTAATTTTCAAGCACGGCCGGTCGCGTCACGTAATCAAGGTGGCCTACACACTAAACATCGTAACTCCCTTGTGGGTGTAAATGGCTTGTCCTATAACTAACACCCATTTGGGTGTAGCAAAACGCCCTAACAAAGGGCGTTATACTTAACGCCCCTAAAATAGGGTGTTTTTCCCCAACACCTTTAGAGGACGGCGTTATTCCGAACATCTTTCAATTAGGGTGTGATTCCAGTGTACACCTTTTTATTAGGGCGTTATGTATGCGCAGTACGCCCTCTAAATTGTGTGTATCACCGCCATAAAGGGAAATAAAAAAAACGCGATTATCAACACCCATAAAGTACGGCGTAATAACCCAAAAGAGTGCTCGAGAAAAGGACTGCAAATGCCTGGTTCACTTTTTATTTTTTAATCAAGGTTCTAACAGGTTCTATAAAATTCTCTATAGACGATTGCAAGCAGGTCATCTGGCCGCAGCCATGTCTCTGCTTATGCGGGCAAGTGCGTGCAATTACAAGCGTGCCAAAGGTCAAAGCTACGTTCACGCGCACGTCATCAAACTTGGCGAAGGCAAGACTGAAAGAAAGAGTTCTCTTTTATCCTCGCAATACCACCACGACCTAGACGCTTCTAAACCAGTGGCGGTCCGTGCGTGTAAGGTCATAAATATTTCAACCGGATATTGTTTTATAACCCCTTCAAATTGTACAACCGAAGGCCCTAGTTGAATCTCCAACTGTACTTATCTTATGACGTTCATGCTTCCTTGCACTGGTGACGTGGACAAAACTGACAGGCTTGCAAAGACGGTACACCGGGAGTTGCTTGGGACGTAAGCGGCAGTTCATGTTTGGAAACCGTAAAATGGTGTATTGAAACGGAAGCAGGGAGCCTATGTTCGACAAAAGCTTCGTTACTCCTAAAAATAAACGGAAGTGGCGGAAGTGACGATATCGCGTTTGATTGGTTAGAGGTTCAAATGACGAAAGTTACCTATTTTCGCCATTTCATCTTCCAACTAATCAAACGCGATATTGTCGCTTCCGTCACTTCCATTTCTTTTTAGGAGAAATGAAACATTTGTCGAACATAGCCCCCTTGGACTACTATCAGAAGCATGCTTGCAGAGTACTTACAAATAAAACAGCGATCTCATATAATCCGTGATAGATGCATAATCCGATTCGGGCAGCACAGAACAATCCACGAACACAATCTCGAGGATGAAGGCGGTCGCTCACATTCAGCGGAAGTTTCGCGGTCGCCGATGAGCATCTCTCTGTCGTGATACATGCGTAATCCGATTCGGGAAGCACAAAACAACGCAAACACAATGCCGAGGTTGAAGGCGGTTGATCACATCCAACGGAAGTCTCGCGGCCTCCGATGAGCAGCTCTTTGTCGAAACGCGTCCAACAAATACAGCACAATAATTCCATGGACGCCGACGAAATAAACGACCATTTCCGAAAAGTTGGCATGGATGTATTCTGGCCGTTCACGACGAAAAATCACGGCCGCGACTCAAACGCACGAGAAACAGGAATACACTGACGGGCGCCCCCCTTTTTGTAAACCGCACCTACGTGGCCCCTACAACTTGCCATAACTTGGCATACTGCAAAGACTACGGCCCCAGTAGCCCATCAGCGCGTCAGAGCGAATCACGTGACAAATTTTCGTTCAAGCGTCCTTGTCCTACGGAGAGCGGTCACGTGTTTTGCGCCACCCCTCTGATTTGCTAGAAGTGGCCTTCGCAATCGCTCAGAGCAACACGAAGACACAAAAGAAGGTTTCGAGGCTTATCAGAAGACGAGGTCAAAGGGGGTTGGGCAAAGCCGCTAATCTCCCTCTGCTGCTTTGTATTGCCACCTGCCCTGCCCAGGGAAGGTCGCGAAATGGGACTCGCCAGGGCTTGCTTTGCGTAGTACAACCTTGAGCGTCTCAAACTGCCACTCCTGTAGACGCGCATGATCTGGTGCGGACCGCGAGATCACAAGATAAATACGAAAAACCATTTTTAACGCCGCCGAAAACGCGGTTTCACGTGTACAAAAGAAAAACCGGAAAAAAAAAAGCGTCGGAAAGCTAGATATTTTGGTGTCATTACGCAGAGATAAGAGTCGCGTCCCTGGGGGTGTCATTAATCCGGAACTTTTGATTGTCTTGCGACATTGTTTCTTCAGAGCTACACTCCAAAATAAAGTATCAGTGAAGGTGCTATAAGTAGTGCGAAACCCAGTCAGGTGAGTTTGTAATATCCGAAATGAGGGCGCCACAGTTTGTTCAAGTCTTCAGCTTAAAAGGTCTTTCTCAGGTTAAAAGTAAGCAGATTCTATTTCGGTTAATCTTGCTTTGCATTGTATTTTAACGTCGGATTTTAGACAGTCAAGGAATAGAAATACCTCGCCGGCATAGCCGATTCACGCAGGACACTCTTGGCAGTCAACCGAAAACGGTGCCAAGTACGGTATGTCAGGACAGCGTCGCCGCGACCCATCCCATTTTTCAGATATTGGCTAGACCAAAATAATATCGACACAATCTTTCTTATTTAATTCCATAACAGCGCAATATTGTGTGCTGCCTAGGTTGTATATTTACACGTCTTCATTCATTCTTTTTTTTGGCAGCGGAGATGATTTTTTTTATAATCAAGGTTGAACCGATAAAACTGATGCACGCGCGAAACGTAATTTTAGGCTCGTGTCGAACGAAGAGTTCAATAGGAGTTGCAAAAACTATTCTCTAGCACTATCTAATCATACGCGACTCCGTGTGGCGATTAATTATACTCGATGTTTGTACCGCCGTACATCAACAACAGTTTCACCAAAGCAATAAATATTGCTTTGTATTGTAATAAAGCAATAAATATTGCTTGCATTGTAAACGGCTGAATGGGCCACGTCAGGCAGAGATAATCTGCCTTTTGTCCTGTTACCCTTGACCTATTGTCTAAATAAAAACCAATTCAATTCAATTCAATATGAACGGCTATGAAATCATGAGTGTTTTTGACAGCATCACCATTACGCCCCTTTCACACCGTGTGGATGAAGGGCGTAAAATTCGGCCATACACCCTTTTTACACGATTTCAGACACCATCGTTGCAAGTGGGGCGTAAAGAGGGCGTGTAAAGGGTGTAAAACGGCAGCACACCCTTTTTACACCCACCGATATTCAGAAATCGTGTAAAAAGCGTGTAAAAAGGGTGTTTTTCCTAACGTACACCCTTCTTACACCCTTTTTACACGATTATGGGTGTTACAATGTTTAGTGTGTACTGCTGTTTTTCGTGAGTTTGCTCGTCAGCGGCTTCGCATACTTTGCCAACGACATGGCTGAATTCATCTGGCTTCTCGTAGTGCAGGTTGTGACCGCAGTCTTCGAGTACCTGACCGAGAGAAAGAAAAAAAAACACAATGTATTGAATAAAGTTTTACAAAGATCCACTCATGCCCAAATAAAGAAAAAAAAAACAGCAACAACAGATATAATGACAGGTATCTGAATTGCAAAAGTGCCCATAAAGTTTCGGTAAAATATTTTGCGAGCAATTAGTAAACACTTAAAATTTAAGCTCAACGCAATGATTCTTGGCTTTACCGAAACGTTGAAGCGCGCGCGCAGAGTGCATCTTAGATCCGCAAGATCCCCGAGCTTTCAAGAGACGCGACATTCATTGTTTTAAATGGTCGCTGTGCAAGACGTTGTCCCCAGCTTTGAAAAAAAAACAAAAAAAACTGGCGGATTTTTTTGGGCGCGGACCAGTCACCTAGTTGTGTTTGGAAATTTGTGTTTGTCCCTTATATCCCTTTTTCCCCTTCTCCAGAGATTATTATCATCATTTTTGTCCAGCTCGCTTGCACCTTTGCATTAATTGCATTATCATCGTATTTTTATTTCATCTCAGAAACATCTGCAATGCCGACAAAGGCTTGGGCACGAGCGTGTGGCTTTACAAAGTGCCTCCTATACACGAGATCTCGTACAAACAAAAGCACTCTGCTCAGCTCGGCTCACACGCCTGTGCCTTTGTCTTTATTGCAGACACTTATCAGATGGAGTATAGACAATTACAAGCACAGCGCCCTGAATTGTGCACCGTGGGCACCAGCACATGAAGCGTGCACGTGAACCTGGCCTTGAGAGGCTTGCAATTGCATGTGCTTGCCCGCACATGCAGTGGCTGCCAGATACCCTGCTTGAAATCGTCTATAGACCTTTCCAATGTTTACAAATCCACAGCTCAGCGTGCGATCTCCACAGCTCAGCACGCGCGTGTGCGTCGCTTCGGAAAGCGAGCAAATCACGCGCGATACGCACGAACACTGAAAATGAAACCGGCCAGCAGCCCTTTTCTGGAAAGGTCTATACACCATTCCAATATTTACAAGTCCTCAGTCCAGCGTGTGATTTCCTCAGGCTAGCACGCGCATGAGCGTCGTTTCAGAAAGCGAGCAAATCACGCGCCATGCGCACCAACACTGAAAATGGAACGGGCCAGGAACCCTTTTTTGGAAAACTATATAGATGCGACCTTTCTGACTGAAACAAAAAAAAATGGAACTGTAGTAAAATTGAAGGTTGTGCTAGATGACACACGCCATGTAATCCACTGTGTCCTTTTCTTTTTCTTAAAAAAAAATTAACCTTTTGTGTGTGTGTGTGTGTGTGTGTGTGTGAGTGCGTGCGTGCGTGCGTGTGAGTGCGTGCGTGTGTGTGTGTGCGTGCGCGTGCGCGTGCGTGCGTGCGCGTGCGCGCGCGTTTGTGTGTGTGTGTGTGTGTGTTGGGGGGGAGGGGGGGGGGGGGCGACCGACACTTTGCAAGGAGAAGTTGCGCCTTCAAGGTGCACTCTAGCGCAGCCCTGAAGAGAGCTTATTCTCTTCGCCAACTCTCTTAGCCAAGACTCAGCGCTTCGTCTATCCTGTCATCTCTTGGCTTTCGTGCCTATTTCGGCGCCTTTTCCCGTTCCACGTGCGCCAAGTGGCCCAATCTTCAAACTTGCTAAGAGATGGCCAAAAAGAAACCCTCACGTGTATCTTGACGCACGACCGGGGCCTTGCCTCGCGGAGCGCGAATGCTGGCCTTCGACCCATGAAGCTGTGTTCTCCGTAGATGAAGGTCAGACCCATCTCCGGCGGAAGGGCCGCTAGCCGAGGGCCCATGGGATGCTCGGCCCAGGGAAAGCGATGCATGAGCGCCTTCACCGCTGCCTCGCCACTGCACGCCAGCGCGCTCCAATTAGCGGGCCTCACGTTCACTCTTAGTTCAGACAGAGCGGGACAGCGACGCAAGGTTTAACCAAAACAACAACAACAACAAAAAAAAGGCACGGAAACAGAACTTTTTGGAAGCCTTAAGAACGGCCACACTCTTAATACATAATATAAAAGACCGGCTGCAGACACTATAGGGAATTGTAGGGAACCGTTTCCGCACATCGGATAAGGTACGATGGGCCTTCCGGTACGATCTGCGCATATGCCACCGCAGAAGACTCGCGCATGCGCAGCTCGTACCGGAAGGCACATCGTACCGTCACCGGATGTGCAAAACCCGTTTCCTAAAACTCTCTACTGTCTGAGGCGTGCTTTTTCTTCGTTTGGTGGTCGTCCATTGGTCATACAAGGCACTGTCTGCAGACGATTTCGAAGCATGCATGAAGCAGACATGCTTCAAACATGCTTGAGGCGCAGATTATTCTGTCGCCACGTGTGCAGCGAACAACGTATCTTTGGTATCATGTATGAGCAGTGGGACGGCGGATTTAGACTGACGGTCGAGTTGAACTGGACGAGACACATGCCTACGTATTACGAGTTATTATGGAATCATGATTGTTCTATTGAGCCCACACTGACCACGGGAGTGTGCACCATGTAAAACGCGGAGGTAAAAAACAAATCGGAGTATGGTTAATGATAGGACTATAAGGAGTGGGGTATTCACTGGAGGCCATATTTGAGGGCTATGTTTACAGCGCGTGCTCAGAACGAGCTCACATTAATAGGCTTCTGCTAAGGCCGGCAGTCTTGACGGCGCGGAATGCACGCTGCAAACGAACCGTGGAAGCTCGTCGTCAGCACGCGCTCGGCAGTCGCGCACACAGCTATGGCCGCCAGTGAATACTCCCTATATATGACGAGCGGAACGGCGCCACGCGCGCTCGCACGAACAAACAAAAGCAGCTCGTAGGTGCATCGATTTTTTTTTTATCGCGTACTGTGATTCCAAGGTGGTACATAATGAACAAAACTCAAATCTCGAAGTCACATCGTTACTTTGCTTCGGCTGACCGGTTATTGATTTGTCAAATAGAATTAAACTTCGCATACCAGACGTAACGAGTGAAGTGACGCATATTAAAGGGGGGGGGGGGGGTCTTCAGTTAAAGGAGTCGGTGCTTTGTGAGGTCACCGAGGCTATATTCTCAACACGAGTTCTGTCGCGCTCAAGCACGCGCTGTAAACTACACTTCGTCGCCACAATTTGCGATACTCCGTTTCACCTTAGGTTGTACCGCAGACAAGGCTAGAAGCGCGAGCTCATAGCGTTGGGAGCTACTCTTAACGCACGAGAGTTTGTGGCGCCGAGATGTGCCCAAGGAGCTCGCGCTTGTAGCCTTTCCTGCGGTGCATGGTAAGGTGAAGAAACAAAGTATAGCTCTTGCTCCTTGTTGCATGTGTGCCTTCATTGGTACTTGTTTGGTTTGCGCTGTTTACTTCTATTGGTCTTGAAAACCCGTGTATAGACGATGGCAAAAAAGGCTGTCGCCTTTTTTGCCATCGTCCGGCGGAAACATGGCCGCCGCCATGTCACCGCTCGCCCGTGCAATTGCACGCTTGCCAAAGCTGTGTCCACGCGCAAGCTGCACGAGCTTGCACGCATGGGGCACCAGTCGGGGCACCATGCTTGCAGTTGTGTATATGCATCCCCCAGTGTCTCGTCAACCTATTTATTCAACCTTTTTCATTTTTTGGAAAGCAAAATAGTTTCTTAAACAAATCGTTCATTGTCCCGACTGTCGAATGAGCAAGGTAGCCAAAGTAACAGCATCGCATGACGCTATACAGTCAGATATGTACGTAGCGCGTTATTTTACCTATTTACTTTTTTGGGTAACGAGTAATGTATTTAGTTACTTTTTTTACAAAAGGAACGAGTAAAGAACTCAGTTACTTTTAAGAACAAGTAACGAGTAACGGTAATTCGACACTTTTGAGGAGTAACGTGCACAACACCGTTTCAACTGACTCGTTTTAATTTTAACCTGAGTATTTAAGAGCAGAGAGAATAAAGGAGAGAGGGGAACCCCAGATTCACCAGCTCTTTCTGAAGCACAACACTGCCGTTCCTTCGAGCGCGTCAGCAGAACGATCTCCTCAGCATTGCCGTTCTCAATGAAGCGGGGAAACATAACTGATGAAAACTTCGAGAATAATAATAATTGGGGTTGTGTGGATCAGCCATTTCAAAGTTGCGACGAGTCACTCGTTAGGCAGCTACTGCTGAAGTGTAACGACTACTGAAAAGAAAACAATGAACCATGAAATAAAAGCAGTTCTGTATTTGGTCGTCAAAGTAACTAGAATGGTACTCGCTACTTCTGAGGTAAAGTAACGCGTTATTTTTGAGAATCGATTACAGTAACGTATTTAGTTACTTTTTGAGCGAGTAACGGTATTTAGTTCCTTTCTCGGGGTAAGGTGTACATGTCTGGTTACAGCAGTGGTTCTACCTTTATTTTAACTTTAAATATACGTGTGTTGAAAGTCGGAAGATGTGCTGTCCATGTTCTGTCTTTCATGTGCAACTCTTTGGTAAAATATTGAACATAATGGCGTACATTCCGTTTCCACAGAATGGCTCCTTACCAACGACATGCACCTGCCGCGTGCTTTGCTATCCTGTCAAAGTAGCGAGAGTGCCCTTATCGACTGTGATCTTCTAATGTTAGGCTGTGGTTCTTCTGGATGCGAGGCATCTGGCCGCCACCATGTCTCTGCTCGTGTGGAAGGAATCGCAACCTCGATAAAGTCAAGGCGGGTTTACACTGTCCAGTTTTCTTACGTTTTCTTAAGCCTGGGTCACACTTCTTATATATCATACAAAAGACAGTCTGCAAACAGATGCAAACGCAAGTCATCACTAAGGTTCCTTAATGTCTTTCTGTTTAGGGTGATGCCACTTTAGATGTCATTGCTTGTATAGTACCCGATGCTGACAGCATGGAGCTCACAGGGAAAATACAAAGAAATCGCTGAGAACAAAATGTCGCCGTAGCACAGTTAGCACCACAAGCACGTGCAGGGACACGCTCTAACACGCACTTCAGTACAAAACAAAAAGGGGGGGGGGGGGGGGGAGAAGAAGCGTTTGGAACAATATGGCTAAATGACATCACTTTAGGCAAAGCGCACATGAAGGCACCCTAGTCACATCCTAAAGTCAATGGATCCTGAGAAAGTAGCGCCAAGCTCCCCGTATGGTCGCAATTTTGGTCCGTGAAATGAGCAATTTCTCCTTGACCCCTTCGCTCTTGGTGAGCCGAACTAAATTCGCTGGTGACGGGTAGTTTTATGGAGACGTTGCTTGTATACCGAGATATTGCTATCCACACACTGCCGAAACAAGCGTACATCTTCGTACCACCACCACGTACTGTGTCGGTGCTTTGAAGCACTGAAAAATAAGCTTACAGTTTTAAAATACGCAAGAAGAACAACATAATTGTAAGAGATCCGTGGAGATTGACATGATTGATAAGTTGATTGCATACACAGTGCCAAAGCCGCTTATATTAGTGAGGAACGCTTCCAGTACGATGATGCTCCATAGTGATCTTGGTGCGACTGGTTTAGAACGACCCCCTAAAAGCTTCGAAGATTTGAATGGACCGGGATGGCGATTTCCATGGCGACGAAAATCGACTAGCCAATCGCCTTGTGAGGTTTTGGCCGTCTGTATGTTAGTATCTGTTTGTGTCCGGCTAGCAGGTACGGAAGGCAATGGCGCTGCTTTCCCAGGATCTAGTGACTTTAGTCACCACGAGATCCGTCTTTCGAATACAGCATGGCAACGAGTTCAAGGAGAAACTTGGCACGCGGCATTCGAACCACGGATGCCTGATGTTTGCAGGCTGTCTTTTGTATGATGTATGAGCAGTGTGACCCCGGCTTTACGCTACGTATGTCACCAAACATTCGTGTCTCGAATGTCACGCGCCAGGATATCTTCTTGAACTGGTAGCCAGGATTGATTATGAAGCACAGATGTCCCCGTGACTTGCGGCGTACGCAGACATAAGAGAGTTTTAGAATAGGGGCCCCCAAAGAATGGGGCCCCCCAAGAAATAGGGGCCCACCATTGCGCATGCGCAGAACCCAAAATCTGTTTGGGGCTTTGGGTTGGTGCTTGGGGTCGGGTTGCGTCGGCAAACATGGCGGCGCCCTTTCTGCTCGCTTCGGAGCGAATTCGTCATGGTCGCTGCAGTATTAGCCCATTTAAATGCCAGTGAATAGTGCTACAGGCTTTCGCTTTGCTTGATCTGGCTCAAATCACAAAGAATGAGCGGTGGGCTCGCCCCATTTTAAAGATCGTCCCCGATTTTGGCCGTTTCTAAGCCTAAACATACGCGGTAACCGTTGACATGGCAACGTATTGCTACTCGGTGGCACTAAAGCCCCTCGATGTGTTTGCGCTCGTCTTGCAAGTAGCGTCAAATGCGCGAGTGCACGAGGCCCATGTCTCGAGCGGCCCTTGGAAGCAAATGGCGGCGCAGCACTGAAATGAGCGGGCCTTGGAAGCGAATGGCGGCGGAGCACCCGCTCATGGCACGTGTCTCGAGCGCTTCCACAACAATGGTTGGCGGTACTTGTCAAAAACGCTTTTATCAAGGGGCTTTAGGTGGCACGATACCTGCATCTTGAAAACAAGTATTTCAAGGCTTCAAAGTCGCTCCAGCTCAGATCTAAATAGTGCAACTGCCCGCAGAGTATGCGCGCTCGCGTTCGTCTCAGTCTCGGCATAGTTGAAGGCCAAACAAAATCTTCGGCTGCATATGGTCAAAGCGCACACCCAAAAATATCGAGAACGAGCCATACCTGTACCTTGTACCAACAAGCTCCACTATCAACCGATACATACCTAAAACAGCGCGCAAGCAAAGGAGGAAGAAAATAGAACACAGGAAAAAGCGCTGACTCCCAACTTATGTATTGTGAAAGAAAGAGAAAGAGGAAGCTTCAGACATGAAGCCCACGCGCACAAACAAGGTATAAAGAAGAAAGAATAAAAACATATAAATTACTAAGTTGCAGTAGAAAAGGAGAAAACTGACATTATAAGGTCACGAAGAAAAAAAAGATGAGAAAAAAGAAGAAAGAAAAACAACAACGTGGGCTTCATATCTGAAGCTTCCTCTTTCTCTTTCTTTCACAATACACAAGTTGGGAGTCAGCGCCCCTTCCTGTGTCTTGTTATCTTCCTCCTCTGCTTGTGCGCTGTTTTAGGTATGTCTTCTATGTACAAGCTAGCTCAACTCTCTATGTTACTTCGAGAACAAGCGCCAAATTAGAGCGCTACGGATTGGATTGTTTCGGCTACACCCGAAATGGGATGGCCGAACGAGTCGAGGCCGATCCAAGGCCAAAAGAAAATGGAGGAAGAGAAGGCTCCCGCGCGCGTTCGCTTCTCGATCGACGATGACATTTATGTGCTACGCGAAGTGTATGCCACTAACTCATTCCAGGATTCCAGGAGATGGACTTGAATGGCCGAAAGGGTCCCCGAAGCAATCGGAAGAAATTTCTCCACGCGGGCCAACCGCGACCGAGTCGACCTGCTGCTGGCACAGTTTAAAGGGAAGATGGGGTACTTCTAGATATGAGAAAAAACGCTTGAATTGCGTTCATTTGGCCTTAGGAATAACAGATATCACAATTATATTTCAATGCGACGCGCCGGAGAGCCATAAGAGCAATTTGAAAATAGGGCTGAAGCCCCGCCTCCCTAGCCTTGGCAAGCCAAAAGATCCGTCGATGACGTCATGTACAGCGACTGTCTTTCGCGTTTTTCTCCCGTTTAACAATACTTGCGCGGCAAATGGTTTTGGTATTCGGGTTCACGAGGTAAAAATACACTAGAATTCACTTCTAACTCATTTTTTTCAAGAAGCTCCGTAGCTTCCCTTTAATACGAAGCACAGATTTCCCGGTTCCTTTTCGTAACTTAACGTAAAAAAAAAGAAAAAGAAAGAAACGGGTCTGTGTGAACGAGCCTTTAGCCGCGGAGTAGCAATACGTCACCATGTCAACAGTTACGACGTATGTTTAGGCTTAGGAACAGCCAGAATCAGGTACGATCTTTAAAATGGGGCGAGCCCACCGCTCATTCTTTGTGACTGGAGCGAGATTAAGCAAAGCGAAAGCCGGTTGCACTATTCATTGGCAATGAAATTGGCTAATACTGCAGCGACCATGACGAATTTGCACCGAAGCGAGCGAAAAGGGCGCCGCCATGTTTGCCGATATACAACCCGGCCCCAAGCAATTGGGGGCCCCACGTTATTTCTCGTATTTCACGTTGGGGGCGCGAGCCAACCCAAAACCCCAAACGGAGTTTGGGTTCTACGCATGCGCAGTGCTGAGCCGCTATTTCTTTGGGGCCCCAAAGCTTTGGGACCCCCGATTATAAAACTCTCTATAACTGTCGTGCTGCTTCAGCTACAGGATGAGCTAACAGCAAGCTACACCTACCAGCGTCGTGCCTGTGACCGGGGAATGGCCCGTCCAGTTCTCAGATAATTCCATTGGCTCACATGATAGCCTGGTATTTGAGGGCGTGCACTCTCTTGTTGACCAGAGAAGTAAATCTTCTGATTCAGAGACGGTCGACAGATGGGCCTTGCTGTGCCGTTCCAACTGGTGTTACCCTCCCTATTATTTGAACCGCAACCCACAATAAAGTGTCGTTCCGGCGCAAATGTTTTGCGTTTTAATAATTTTTCACTGTTAAGAAGTTCGCTCGTTGTCCACAATGGCGCTGCATGCGAAAAAGGCGAGCGTGCCGCGTTGCGTCGTCACAAACCCTATTCTATAAGCACGCTGTGTGAGGTGTCGTTGCGTTGGGTACCCCAAAGCTTTGGGTTACCCAAAGCGTTGGGGCCCCCTATTCTAAAACTCTCTATAAGCTCTCGTGAGGTAACGTTACGTAACGAAAGAAAACGGGGCTGTGTGACCCAACCTTGACCCTCACGAATATGCTGCACGTGCTTGCACCCACAGCCCTGTAGCATGCAGCTTCCACGGTCCAGCACGCGCGTGTTCATTCACTTTGGAAAACGAGCGAAGCAGGCGCCATACTCAAAACGCTGGAAATGGCACCAGCCAGAAAAGCCCTTTATGCGAGTTGTGAGCCAAGTTGCGGAAAACACGTGTACAAGCCCGTTGATTTGATAACTGTTCAGGTGTCACGCGTGCTCTTGCAACAAGGACATTTGTCGAAGCATCGTGCTCGCGCCCGCGTACGTTTCGCAACGACTTTCGCAACTCGCGCAACAAAGCACAGATCGCTCCTATATTCCGAAACGGGTTTCCCTTCAACTTCGAACCACACCACGGGACGCAATCCAGAATCCTTGGAGCCGTCCATTGCGGCCACCCGATTCTCTAGGCCTATATTTTACTTGTGTCCACTTCGGCGACGACGTCGTCTAACAACTCGACGCACGCGAAGGAATCCCGAGGTCGCACGCGGGCTCGTTTGCGTCCGCCAGCGGTAGTCCTTGTCAGTGTGGACAGTTTGCATTCCACCAACCCCTCTTTCGTCCATCGCCAGGAGTACCGGCCTTGTACCGAACAACCCATGATTGCGGGTGGCTCGTCATAACAATCCCGCTAACTGCGCGGCCAAAAGACTGCCTGCAGCTCAGGTGCAGCGGAGACCCGCTTGCGAGCCGGTTCTCGCCATCTCTCGCGATCGGTTTTTATTGGGTTTGAGGGCCGGTCTAGCGCACCGTCCTGACACCACCGGGTTATAGTATTGCTTGAAACACCTTCGGTTAGCCCTTCGACAGTTTCGCGTCAATGCGTGATGACCGTTCGACAGCTGACCTAATGAAATATCTCACTTACCGGCCTAAATGCCTGGCACGCGAGATCCTGACGAGATGTGTGTCGCAGAGTGCTGCGACGCATGCTAGCTTTGCCTGGCGAACCTGTCTTTTGCAGGATTGCACGGAATGTTGGTATATAAATAAACCCTGGACGTTGGGGTAGTTCCGATGTTAATAATAAAGATCTTCATACCAGCCGGCTATCCGTGGACATCCGCGAATATTCGCTGGCAGTGGCTGGTATTCATAATAAAATTGAGGTATGCGAGACATGATTCATCCAAGTGTGCCGATAAAAAAATCGGATACAAATACAGTGTGCGCACTGCATCTACATCCGATTCAACCTACATCCATTCGGATGTAGGTTAAGTCTCCATGGTCGGCGCATCGAACGGGGGTACTGAACTCTTCAAAGGTGCGGTTGTTCAAGTCAAGGCTTCTTGAAGTCGTAATTCTGTGTATCTCGTGACTCATTTCAGTGAGTTGCCAATGCTTGACTCGATGCTCCAAAAGCTAGATCATTAGTCGAAACGAGTTGCAAGTCCGCGAACTTCTAGGGCTTGTGCCCTCTGTAACGTTAGACCAACCTGAGTACAACCGCCCTCCGATGATCCCGCTATCACTTTAAACTGCCTTTGCAGAGTTAATTTCCTCATTCGCAGTTGTCTTGCACAATCCATCCAGTAAAGAATAGTGCCCCTAAACTGCCCATTATTGTTTTCGTCCAATGTTGTCAAAGTTAGATGCGCTAAACATGACCCAAAAACGCGTTGTTCTAGACAAAAAAAAAAGTGCGGATTCTCGGCTGGATGTGGGTAAAACTTCTGACGAAAAGATTGCGGATGCGGTTCAAGGGTTATACAAAGTCTGGGAAGGAGAGTCAAATGCGCATAATGAGTCATTATATATACGTGCAGGGCTGGTTATTGCATAACACAGACAAACGTCAAAGGATGATCTGATTCCCCCCCCCCTTTTTTTTTTCCCCCGTTTCCAAAAATTATGTTGTTCAGCAAAGGCGCGAGAAAATCAGGACCTAGAACTCAAGAAGGGAATTCCCTTCGGAGCCTCAGAGCCGCAGGCGCTGGCTCATTCGCTCAGTGACTTCACTTATTTACTTATTTATTTATTTATACTACCGACAGTCAAGGTACAGCCAAGATAGAAGAATCGCAGACAAAAAAAAATGTACCAAACAAAATAAATACACAGGCGTGCTACCACTGCACCCATAATTAGCGCACAACGTCGCACTTCCTTAAACTGAACGAGACTCTCGGCACAAGAAAGCTTAAAAAAAAAAAGAACATGTAATTATGATTTTCTATACTAACACAGAAACCACATCACATAATGGAGCAAAAGACTAATCCTTACAAAGAGTCTAAGAGCGTGTATTTTCTATACCTGAAATATCAAGAGTCTGGTAGCTTCGACTCAACTATAAAAACAAGGGCATGCAATCTGAAAACGCAACTGTTTTGAAATTTCTCAAAAGATTCTGCTTTCGGGCACGGGTAAGAAGCTAAATCAGCAGCGACAGGGAGTCTCCAGGAAACATGACGCCGCGCTTTCCTAATCCAAAGTCCAATCGGTGCTCCCCCCCGAAACCTTGGGCTCAAACTTTATCTTCACGAGATGCCCACTTTTATTTGTCATTATTTTACTTGCCTCAGCTCAAAATCTGTCGAACCTTCACCATTCGCCCTAAAGGACCGACCAACGGTACTAACAAGGACGCGTTCCATCAATGTCGATACCTTGGTCTGCGCACGTTGCAGTGGTAAAAGTAGGTAGGGATGGCCGTCTCGTCCAGCACGATCTTCCGGAACATGTTGGTTTCGTGGGCCAGAACCACGCTCAGGATGGGCGGCCCTGCGCAGCACAACGGAGAAGGATCACATGAGCGGCCTGCTCGTAACACGGGCCCACACAAAATATGCCGGCCGAGATCTGGAACGAGCTATGAAGCGTCCCTCTTCTCGGAGCACTCCCCTAGGAAGCATTTTAACCAGCCCAACGGCGAGTGCGGTCACGAAGAGAACTGGGCAAATTTCCCAAAAGAACGCCGAATGGATCGAGCTCTCCATTTGGTTTGAAATGAATACGGGGCTCCTCTACTATCGAAAAAAAAAAAACGACAAAAAACGCAATTTACTAGGTCAGCATTTGGCGTCGGGTTCCGGGAAAAAAAAAAGGATGCTAAAAGGATGATGGGAGAGAAAACGAGAAATTGAAAGACGACGACATTAAGAAGAAAAAAAATCTTACAGACAAGGGTTAGATCGAGCCACACGAGGAATATCGTAGAGAGCAGCAGGGGAAAAAAAGTAGAGAGAGCAGAAAGAACGAACCAGGTCCCCTAAAGCCTTAGCGAACGCCCATGCTCTCAAGAAATAGATGGCGAAGGCTAAAGCCGCCACTGACGCATCTGCTTCTACCGTGAATGGACATGGGGACCCCAAGGTACGTATAATGCCGCCAACTTCAACCGTCTTACGCACGAAAAGAAAAAGACAAACACACACACAAAGGAGTTAAGTCAATAGACCAATCTCACCAGCCAGTTTGATTACGCCACCGCTGCCGCAATGCATCGAGGGAACTTTAGTCTTTGGGCTCGTGCGACAACCTCGCTGGAGCTCTGTGCGTGTAGAGCACGCGACGACCCGAGCCCTCTGGTCCACAGCGGGGTGCCTCTTGGGAACTAAAGTTATGGCGGTGTCACGCATGCGCCGAACGCTTGGTGAGATCGCGGTCTATTCCGACCTCACCCAAAAAATTAAATCAAAGCCAAATATACGCGGTTGCTTAAATCAACTAATACATGTGAAGTCTCACACAGAATAAGGAGATATATGTGCCAAATAGTTTTATTTATTTATACGTTACTCTTCCTGCACTTGTATTTTTCGTAAAAAACAATGGGATAAAGTATTTAATGTAGGCGCTGCGTCTTTGTCTCTGCCCCGTACGCGATGAATCTGTGAAACAGAGAAAACAAAATCCCCCTTAGACATCCCAGTTTTCCCTCTGCCTCACAGGTCACTAGCGGTGGCCCAAAGAGGCGAGAGTCGGCCTTCTGTAAAATGTTTTGTTTGCAAGAATAGCGTGCAACTCCGGCCAGCGCACAATGCACTCGGTCATCGTTTGCACAAACGGCCACCGGGTGTATTGTCTCAGCGTGATGTCATTTCATGAAGCAAGAGTAAGTGGATAGAGCAAAATCTCCCTCCGCAGAACACAGGGCTCCTAGGTTCCGTTATGATATTACTTTGCAACGTACCGGCGTGTGGTCGTGTATCCCTCCTACCGCGCGATTCACGTTAACGACGACAGATTGGCAGTCGTGATGCACTCGCTAAGTTGTGTCTCTATCTCCCATTGAACTCTATCTCATTGAATTCCACCTCAATCGTCGAACGCATTCGATTGCCAAACGCCGGCGTCCAGCTTTCCGCGTTAGCGTCCGAAAGCGTTTGACGAATACAGCGGAGACAAAGGGACCTAGCTATAGGTGTACCCACTAATCCTTCCAATCAGAGCTCGGCGTTCAGACGTCCCTCTCGTCTCCTTCTCTCCCTCAGTTTCTCGGCACAGAGCGATCACTGCGAGGATTAGAACGGCAGAGCGTCTCTTTCGGGTGCCCGGCCTCAAGCATACGCTCGGTATACCTTTCGGTGTGCTTTGGCCGAGCCTGCAATCTCAGAGCTCACGGGACGTCAAAGTATTTTCGAAGGTAGGAAGCTCGTACGGGATGCAGGGCAACTGAAGGACCTTCCCGCTGTTCTCATCCTGTCAGTGACCGTAGTCACGATCAAATTCGACAGGAAAACGTTGAGTCTGTTGCAAGCTGAGACTGACCATCGGGATATGTAGGCACCGTATTCTAATCACTTAGAATCGCTTGCCCACTTGCGAAAGATACACGTGACGGCTTTTTGTAAAAGTGCAGAGTTCGCGCTGTCCTCCTAATAAAGATGGCAAAAACAAAGTCTGGAGCAGCTGGGAGTAGACCTTTCTGTTCTCGTAGCCGGTGGTTTCCCTTTGTCAATCTCGCAAGTTGGCAACGCTTAGAATCGAAGTGTTGCCCTTACTTGATTTTCGCTAGTCTACGAGGTGTTCCGTAGTCGCTCGGTCTGATTCAACTACAGGGTGATTCAAGGAGAGGCCAGGCCCTTTAAATCGACCACAAAATTCGGTTTCTTAACCTATCGCGCTACGACTTTGTGCAGCGTTGCCCACAGATGGTGCTTTTTTTTTTTTTTTTTTTTTGTAAAATTTGAAAAAGAGCGAACTTAACTGAGAGAAAAGTAAAAAAAGAAAAAAGGCTTAGCTCCTATGGAAACGCAGCGACGCCACCGGTCTTCAAACAGCACGGCGCCGTTTCGCACGGGAGACAAGAAATGGCGCAACGAACGCCGTCAACGAACGAGCATACGGCGCCGAGAGCCGGCGTCTTTAGCAGACGAACTTTTCGACACAAAAGCGGCACGCGTTCCGCAGGCGGCGACAGTCGCAGAAACAAAAACAGGCGGGGTAACAACAAGGAACTGCAGTTCCTTGTCTGCTAAAAACGCCGGCTCTCGGCGTCGTATGCTCGTTCGTTGGCGGCAGTTGGCACCGCGACCGCTTGAGCCACCTCTTGTCTCCCGTTCGAAACGGCGCCGTGTTGTTTGAAGACCGGTGGCTTCGCTGCGTTTCCATAAGGGCTAAGCATTTTTCTTTCTTTACTTTTTACTCAGGTAAAATCGCTCTTTGCAAATTTTACAAAAAAAAAATGCACCATCTGTGGGCAACGCTGCACAAAGTCGTAGCGCGATAGGTTAAGAAACCGAATTTTGCGGTCGATTTAAAGGGCCTGGCCTCCCCTTGAATCACCCTGTAGAATGGCCGGCCAATTTCTTCCGCCTTTGGAAAACGAGAGCACCAGTTCTGACTTTATAACTCCACCTAACAAATCCACTTCTTAAAAAGAAAAACTAATTCCAATAGTTTACGAGATATCTATTTATTTAAAAATATATATATTGAAGTCAGGGTGTTGTTAAGGTGCGGGAGCAAACCTGAAATTGAAAATGCCCTACTTTTGCTGGTCTACTCAGCAATAGACCCTTTCCAAAATTCAGTGCCAAATGCTTGCTCAAATGGCAGTTTAACTTTTGTCGTACTAATGGTAGCAATGAACCTGTAGTCTGCAGTATTTTAGCGGGCACCGTCACTTTCGTTAGTCTACGGCAAAGGAAAATATGCTCTTCTCTTGACAATTCTTTCTCGGTCTCTTTTAGTGTCGATGGCCACAAAGATGCAACCAGTCAGAACGAAGCGCCAACCCGCACAGACGCCTTGATAAAGTTCTACACATCAAGGGGGTTGGAAACCGATTGTGCGCTTCTGACAGATTGACCGGGCACGAGTTAGAAATGAACACTTACGCAGCTCTTGCATTCAATTCCTGCTTCGCATCGTGTTAACGTCTCGAATGTACAGGCCTCGAATCATCAACGTAGGAGCATCTTCAACTTCTTTGCTCATTAGTAAACAGAAGCCCGCCATTAGTACGACACATGTTATTGTTGAGATGATGATAGTTACCAAAGCGCCAAACTGAATATCCGAAAGGGTGTATATCAGGGGTCGTCAAAAACGTAACGCTGCTTCCCTTCTTTTTTTTTTTTTTTTTTTTTTTTGCTCCTCAGTTGAAGGTTACGGCGAATTCCGCTCATAAAGCGATTAGTCAGTATGTTTCCCTGTTGCGAGTCCCCTTTGCGTGTCCCAACCAAGTAGTTTAAAAACAAACATGTTTCCTTTTTAGGTGCTTTTTAAGATCAAGGACAAAGTGATTTATTCGCGACTAAAACTAAAAGGAAGCACGACCTATGTCGGTGAAGATTTTTCTCTGGCTACCCGTATTGCGTGGAGGAAATGAATCAAATATGGTAAATCCGCAAATTGCCTGTATCAGCTGCGGTACAACAAACTGCATGTCAACCAAATGTGCTACATGTAGTACAACGCGACTACTGAAACGGTTTTCAACCAGGGTCCCGCGCCCCTGATATGCGCAGATAACACAGGCATTGGAAAGGCTCCAACTAATCGAACATCTACATCATCATAACAAGTCGCGAGGGGTGAGGGTCGTTCTGATAAAAGCAAAAATTTGTCAGTACTTTTTAGTAAAATAAGGAGTGTTTTGCGTCATAGGGATGACTTGCGTTCTGCTGCAGACTCATCCAGTGCTGATATTGTAGTTTTAACCAAAACGTGGCTTTCCTCTAGTGTTAAAAATTCCGAAATATTTTGTTACAAAAGAAAACTAAGTTTATTTTTGTGATAGAGGCGAAAAACTAGTGTCGGTGTGCTAATCGCAATTGACAGTCACGTTGAATCGTTTTGTGTACGCTTGAGTAGCGAATTGGAAATAACATGGGTTTGTTTGCACTGGAATCATCCAAAGATTATTTTGGGCGTATGCTATCGTCCTCCAAATAATAATCCTCGACAAAAATAATCCCTGGAGAAGGGGGACAAGAGGGACAAAGGAAAAACATAAATCTCCAAATACAGCTTTGTCCCTCTTGTTCCCCTTCTCCATGGATTATTTTCGTCATTCTTGTCGAGCTCGCTTGCACCTTTGCATTTAATTGCATTATAATAATAATCCTTCCTTTGTTACGAGTCTTCATGGTGCAATAAACGTATTATTAGTACATTTTCCTTTTTTACTATCGTTCTTTTGAGTTAACATTAACTATCCGAATATAGCCTGGACTGACTTGAAGTCATATAGTCACCCGTTTTCATCAGACGCAACTGACTGTATAAATTTATGTAATGATTTCAGCTTGAATATCGGTTATTCTTCCCACTAG